CCTGTTCCATTCCTTTTGCAAAATCTATGCACTGCAGATGAGGTTTCTTCTCATTTGTAAAGGCCCCATTTAGATTTGTAAAGCGAAAATTTAAAAAAAATCGCATTAACGATATGCTTCACTGGACGAAGGGTCAAAGTACCTGGAGCATGGAAGAGTACACAATTGGGTGGGTCTCTCCAACTTGTTCACGCCTACTTTTCAATGCTTTACGAAGTACACACACAAAACACTTTGTGTACTCCACGAATTCCCAAAAGTTATCAAGAAATGTCACTACAGGTGCTTGTAATGAAATGTGTTAGCACTTTCTCGGTCATTTGCTAATTACCTTCTTTGGTAGCCTTGCATATCCCTTCCATGATGGTTCATGGTCAACGGGATAAAATGCCCACTCCCGTTTGCTCAAACGAAGTCATTCTTACTCAAAAAGTATTAAGATCTCTTCGATCGGGCCCTAGTTTTCAGCAACACAAAACAAACCCAATTCGACCTCAAATACAGATTTAGGGGTCAAAAGAGTTCGCTGTGAAACTCTTTCACTCTCAAACCAGTTCATTATTTCCATCTTGTGCCTCTCTTGCTGCTCTAACACCGGTCCAGGAAGGCAATACCAAAAGCTAGCAAAAAACGCGTTGAACTTACATGATGACACCAGTAAATCTCCACCTGGTAGAGGCGTGAGCGGATGCACACCTCAACACCCATCAACACGACGTTAGAACAATCTACTATTCAAGGCTACCATTGTCATCCTAAATGCTACTAATGGGAGATAGATAAAGTGAAGGTTTGGAGAGAAGCTCATCTAGAATTTCGTGGTGCACATTTTGTGCACGTATCAGATTCCCACGAGTGACCGCCAACACTTTCCCTCCCACTTTGTGTTTGTTGAATTCGGATTGGACGCGGTGGGGAACGTTGGATGACTAGTTTTGTCTACTAAACCACCTGCCTCTGCTGTGTAGCAGGATAAAGACATCTGGCGAGCCCGAATAGGATTTTGCTAAAGGAAGAAAAATGGCATATGGTGGAAGATGGAGGAAGGAGCATAAAGTATCTCCCAACAATTGTTTTTTTCACATGTGGCAGAACTTCGATCAGTGCGATCATTGCCATGAAAATGATCATCCTGATGTGGCACATGCACTCGTCGTCAGGTGCCTTGTCGACTGGAGTTAAAATGTGAAACACAAATTCTGGATGGAAATGACATTCGAGAGTTTAAATGGATTGTCTTGCGTCCAGACATTGTGAATCATTGCAGAGGAATTGGGAGCCCATACTATGATTGACTGAACTTTGGTGCAAATCTTTGCACGAATGCGAGAAAGACAACAAAACCTTTTGGTAAACGCCTACAAAGGACATTTGTGTGCTAACGTATGCCGAATGCGTTCAAATGCCTTAAGCAGTAAGGCAGACCAGTGGTAATGCATGGAAGGTCTGAGTTCTGCAGACATTTGTATATTCAAAAAAAACTTCAAGCACGACTTGCATGCTGATAAGCCACTTATCACCCCATTCGTGTGGCATTTCGTTTACACAAATGTCTCGAGGCAATGTCTGTGTTGATTCCGGTTGCGGTGGTGTCCAGCTCACAGCATTGTAGACATCAGTATGAAATAGACAGCGAATCCTTTTGTGGCGGTGGGGAGCAGAGTCATTCCTCGATGAATTAGTGACCTCTTAGCACCAAAACCCATTAAAGTAGTTCGTCTGCATTTACTGCTCGTCTGTCAATAGGAACGTTTCGTATTCATTACCAACTTAAGGTACTGCAGTTTTACTTTGAGAAGTTCATTTGTTTCCACTTTTCTAGCGGGAGCACAAATGTTTTATTACCGCCTTCAAGGTTTTATCAAACGGCCGTTCCAATTTCAGTGGGTTTGATGGCATTCACTCGTCTCTTAAAAGATGAGGGCTATGCCTTTCTAGGCGGTTTTTTCTCCTCTCTCCATTTTCTGTAAATGCTATTGCTGCCTTTTACCGGTGAGGGCGTTAGTATTGCCTTTCGTAGGAATCATGATTTAGTCAAACACGATGTGGAGACCTGAGTTTGAGCTACTTACAAATCTAGGCGATGGTTGACTCTATGCGACCGGGCGCGGTGATTGTGGACTTGGCTGCGGAGGCAGGAGGCAACGTGGAGACCACACGGCCTGGAGAGCTGTACGTAGGAGGAGCGAATCAAGTGGTGCACATCGGCTACACTGACTTTCCATCTCGCCTTGCCGGCCAGGCATCAGCCCTCTTCGCCAATAACCTTACCAACTTCCTCGTTGCCATGATGCCAAAGGACAAGGGTGAGTGCCTTCCATTGGCCAACTTCTCTGCATTCCTTCATTATTGCCGTTTAGTTCATTTGTTTTAGCCAAGCTACAATTTTAAGTGACTACTAGCAAATTTTTCTGGTGAGGACAACCTGTCCTCTTGTCCCTTTCTTGATTTCCTTCTCCAAATGCTCGCGAAAATCCCACTCGTTGGGAAGCACATGGAGGTGACTAAAGGATTAATACGACAATTAGTTTAATTCTCATCTTCTACAAGTTTTACTACCTACCATTCAGCCCTACCAGTGGAAAATATTGCAAGGGTGGTCAAGGTGGAGGGATGACCTCTTCTAGGTACTTAAGATTTTGTCCCACCGCTTCCAATGTTCAACGAATTCTCAATTTTTTTTACTACTTGTTCGTACTTTGATACTTACAGCGATAACTTTGAGGCAGAGGTTTCC